GCTTAACGACTGAGCCACCCAGGCGCCCCCTATTTTTAATTTTTTGAGGGACAGTTTTCTTTTCTTGTCATCCCTCCCTGCACTTGTGAGGACTGGCTAGCTGCATATCTCCCCACTAGACTCTATGCTCCATGAGCTATTATTCATAGCTGCATCCTTTGTTCCTGTACGGTAGCCAGCACAGTGCATGTGCTCAATGAATGTGTGCTGAATAAATAAAGGATTAAATACAATCTTATTACCTATAATGTAATTGTTAATAACAATCCTTATTTTATTTAGTAGAACTAGGGCTTAAAATTGCTCCTTTCCAATAAGCACTGAATAAATACAGCAACATGACTATACACTGTTCTCTTAATAAAGAACTCAAGACTCTCTAAGTACACTCTGTTTCTCCTCACACACACCTTGACAATAGGTATGGGCTAGTGGTGTTATCATCATATTACCCACAGGGATAGAGAGATTCTTTATCTCACCCAAGACTGCACAGACATTCTCAGGAACAGCTGTTAATAGATTTTATGTTTCTTTATATTCAGTCCACTGCTGAGGCTGCTAAATCCTACTAAAGCTATCAGGCACCATAGCCTTATGCTGCTTTTCAAGGGTCTGCAATGCTCCCAAGTTAATTCACGGAAATGGCTGCAGGATTGTGTAAAAGCAGCTGGTTACCTCCCAGCAGAATTAGCTGTAACCAGTTTAGTCACTTGCTGAGAGAAAGCAGGAAATCTCATGTAAAAATCAGTGACATTCCCCATAATATAATAGCAAGTAAATCTATTTCTGAAGAGACCCAGATGCCTTGTTGGTTTAGGAAGATTCAGGAACAGATAGAGATCTGTAGTCTGAAGAATGGGAGAGATTTTAGAGCCAGACCTGGGTCTTTGATTTGGTGATTATGTTACAGATGGGGCAAATCTTTTGAGAATTGTGAGAATGACTTGTCAGTGAAGTTAAACAGAAATGTGGACAGAAAATTTGAGCCGCACTCAGTCAGCTGCTGCTCCGCTGACAATAGCCGCTCCTTTCCACAGCCCAAGATCAGCGATGCGCTCTCACCCTCCATTCCCACCATTTGCGGAGGGCCCACAAAGCAGAGATGGAGGACAGCCTGCCCAGGCAGACCACAGCCCACTACAAAGTTCCAAAAATGCTGCAAGTACTGTAGAAGTGACTATTTTCCCTTAACCATTTGAGAGTAGATTGCCAATCTGATTCTTTATTAGCCCAGAATTCTGGTATTTCCTACAGATCGAGACATTCTTCTATAAACCAACAATACAATCAACAAAATCAGAAAATTAACCTCAAAGCATTACTGCCATCAGACCTCATTCAAAGTTTAAGTGTGGCAACCCTACTTTTTACAGCTAAAGGATCCAGTGCAAAACCACATGTTGCGTGCGTTAAGCCTCTTGGGTTCACTTCAGTGTGGGACAATTCTTTCATCTTTCTTTAACTGTCTTGTCCTTGCCACATTGGAAGATTAGAGGCCAGTTATTTTGTAGACTGTCTCTTCATTTAGGCTTGTCTCCTATTTCCTTGGATCAGATTCAGGTTATGAATTCTTTGGAAGGAACAACACCGAAATGATGTTGTGTTATTCTCAGTGCATCATACCAGGTGGTGCAAATTTCAATTTTTCCCATTACTGATTGATGTTAACTTTGCTTTAAGATGATGTCCCTCAGGCTTCTCCAGTTTCAAGTTACTTCTTTTCTCTTTGTTAATTAATAAATATTATATGTGGAAAAATATGAAACTATGTAACTATCCTAGTCCTCAACAAACTTCTAATTTACTCATTTATTATTTTGTTTCTGTAAGGATTCATTGTTTCTTTCCTATTTTATTGAATGAATTACAGGTTTTTACTATCATTTATCTTGATACTCAAATTGTTCCCAATTTGCCCAGTGGAAGTCTCTTCAAGCTGGCATTTGTGTATCCCTATCATTCTTTGAGTACTTCCTTGCCTCTGGCAAAAAAATAATTTATAGGCTCATCTTATACTTTCTCTGCCCCAGACTTGAACTCAGACAGTTCTCTAAGAAGCCATACTTCTTTTAAGTGGAGAATCGTGTTTAGAAACCAGGAGATGGGCAATAGGTGTGCTTATGGCTAATAAGAAAGACTTCCAAGACTTCTCATTGGACAGAGCAAGGGAATATATGTATGTATACATATACACACTTACATCTATATTTCCATATCTAACTATATATATTACAAACTGCTAGCTCCAAATTCAACATTACAGAGTTCATTCAGATATTCTGCTTTTCCATAATTGTAAGTCCATGTTTGTTGTTGTAAGCTATGTTTGTGGTAATTTGTTATACAGCAATTGGAAACTAATATACCACCCAAAGTTTCTAGCCCTTGTCTACTCTAGGCTGCCATTCTCTGAACTTGCAACACGCCCCAAGATCTAACCAACTTCGGACTTCCTACCAACCAACAAACAGTTTTTGCAATAAGTATTGGGATCCATTAAACTCACTTTTGCTTCGTTGGTATCTTCGGGGATGGGTTTCATGCAAGGAGCCAGCAGCTGGTGCCAGTTTTTACCCTGTCTCCATGATCCCTAGATTTGCATTTGAAGAAGATCATTTTTGATTGGTGGTGGTGATTGGTGGTGAATGAATTGGCAAGACCAGCTAAAGAAAGACCAGTTAGGAGGCTGCTGTTGAAGTCCAGGTAAGAGGTGATAGTGACTTGACTAGATGACAGCAAGGAATCTGGAGAGAAGTGGATGGATTTGAGGAAAGGCAATAGAAGTCACTCTCAACCTCAGTTCTTGGATATAACCAGTGTTAATATGAACTATGTTAATATTGTGGTGTATTTTATTTCTATCTTCCTTTTCTATATATGTGTATATGTAATACTATATTTTTACAGTGTTGGGATGACATTATGTTTATAATTTTATATATTGGTCATTGTCCTTATCTTGTTGTGACCACTTATCTGAAGAATTAAATCATATTTAAAATGTTATTTTTAATAAGTGATTCCTTTTTCATGGTCCCTGGAACCACAGTAAGACATATTAATGGAAAATTCCCAGAAGAATTTAGGGGAAAATAAATGGAGTGAATGATGCTAAGGGGTAGGGGGAGTACACACCTGTAGACACCACTGATGGAGAGGAGGAGGAGCAGATACCATCTACGTTGAGCCTACAGCTGGGAGGTGTGGCCTGGGGAGCAGGACCTGGTTCAGTGGTCAACTGCTGACAACACTACACCACAACCCCCTGCCCTGGCCAGAGCTCACTGTTCCCAGCTATCCTGCATGGGTTATAACTTTTAGCATCTCATACCAGTCAACAACTTTGTCATATTGCAACTACTTACTAAGTGCTTAAAGTGATCTGGAGTGGATAAGGGTACATTTTCAATGGCCTTTTAGAAGGGAAGCAATAACAGTTGGGTATTAGGAGAGCAGCTGGCTGTGAATTTTTTTTTAAATAAGTCCATTGAACAACACATCAGCCATCCCTTGAGAGCCTATGTGCTCCACTCAGGCCAAGTAAGCTTGCCTGCAATACGCTTTTCAGAATGTGCTGTCTGCTTCCCAGGAGTCCTCTCATAGATTACACACAAAGACACACACACAACCCGCCCCGCCAACACCCCTCTGCCCTCCTTCTGTCCCTCTCCCATGAGTGCAGGGCCAGTAGAGAAGGGGTCAAGTTAGTGGGGACATATCTTTGGTTCTTCTGTAACCATTCTCTCCTCCCACCTTGCATTCTCCAAACCATATCTCTACTGTTCACCTCCCGCTATGGGGGACAAAGCAGGGTCTCTTTCCCACACACACTTGGAAAGTTGTCAAATAATTTAAGCCAGGGTGTTTGCTGATAACAAAGGTGCTGTAGCTGATAAGGAAAGTGTTGGCTGATAGGCTTAACATCCCAGAAATATTTGCATTTTCATGGGGGCCTTCTGAAGAGACAGAAAGGGTCTTTGGGGAACAGAAGTTCGGGGCAGTTCCCAGGCACAGTCTTAGACCTTGCTAGTCTTTGTGGAAGTGTCCCCACTCGTCTGCAGCATCCCTTTTGGATAAATGCCCACCTGCTTCTAGATGGCGGGGGAGGTCGGAGCTCTGCAGGCCCAACCACCTGGACACCTGCCCCACCCTCATGTCCTGCTTTCCCCTGGTCTCCCTCGCAGCTGAGGGAAGAATGGCGAGGTAGGAGGTGGGGCAATGCTTGTTTCACCCAAAATTGGGAGACACAGTGCTAGAAGATTATTTCCTTTTTTACCTGCATAGTTACATGAGAAACAAATTTCTATAAAGACTATGATTTGAAATGAGCCACCTAAACAAGTTGGACTATCAAACTCCACTTTCTAGTGCACTGTTGAATATAAATCTCCAAACTGGCAAACAATGACAGACAGTTTAGTACCATAAAATAAAAATTGATCTTGTACTTTTCTGTGTTTTGTTGGTATAGGTTCTAAATATCCTTTCATTGGAAGAACTTGCTTTTATTGTGAGATTCTTTCCTATCTTTTAAAACAGCCTTCTTTTCTGTGTTTGGTATTTTTACTGTTTGGTATTATTATTTCCAATCCTTTTTCTTATGTTTTATATTATTCTCATTCTTATTTCTATGTTTGGAGTTACTATTACCTATATACGGTATTACTATTTCTCATGTTTATTTTTTTATAATAACACATCTTTTAAACATCTTTTTGGTATTAAAACATCCTTGGTATTAAAACATGATAAATGACAATGACAGGAGGCTTTGTTCATTACTGGACACCCAGCCCCTAAGACAGTGCCTGGGACATAGTAGACATCAATGAATATGTATTGAATAAATGCACACATGAATGATATATCTTAGAAATTATATTCTTATCTGTCACACGAATTGGCAACTCTATCAATTCCTAAATTTTAAAGTTACTCATTCATGACATTCATGGGTTTAGAACACAGAACTGAGAGTCAGATCAATTCCGATTTACCTTAATCTTGGGCAAGTTATTCAGTCTCTACAGGCCTCAGTTTCCACACCTGTGAAAATAGCCAGTAGTTATTTCACAGAGTCATTTGAGGATTGCAGGAGGTGGCATGCAGGTGCTGGGTGGGGTGGGTAACCTTGGTCTGGGATTATTAGACTCCATCCGGGGATTGGACGGGGTGCTCATCTTCCTGGGCAGTGAGGTGTGACTGTCATTCCTGTTTACGCTGCCCAGTCCTTTGGATGCAGTTTATAACCCCCCCAATAATTCTGCTCCTAACATCCGAAGACCATAGCAATGTCGTGATGGTAGAGCAATCTGACACCAGGCTGAGGTGTTGATAGCTAGAATAAAAGGAGCATACTCTTCAGTGAGTTATGATTTTGTTTCTTAAAAGTTTAAAATTTACTTTTTCAACGGGACAAATGTTTTTATTATTAGAAAAACTAAGCACTTAATATTAGCAATTGGTTACATACCTAATTATGTTTTTTCCTCATTCAAAATAAGTATTACTATTTTATAGTTACAGAACAGAGATTAAACAGCTTGATCTTGGGGGTGCCTGGGTGGCTCAGGGGTTAGGTGTCTGTCTTCGGCTCAGGTCATGATCCCAGGATCCTGGGATCGAGCCCCATGTCGGGCTCTTGCTCAGTGAGAAGCCTGCTTCTCTCTCTCCCATTCCCCCTGCTTGTGTTCCTGCTCTGGCTGTGTCTCTCTCTGTCAAATAAGTAAATAAAATCTAAAAAAAAAAAAAAAAAACCAGCTTGATCATGGTCTCTAGTTAGTAGGTAGAAGAGCTAAGGTTGGAGCCTAGATCTGATTCCCCAAACCATGCTTTAACTACAGCTGCATGGTGGGGAAAACACATCTATTTGTCTATTTTAGTGGAAAATTTGGAGACTCTATCACCTCTCTAGATAAGATGAAGTTAAAAAATTCATTCAGCCTGTGAACTAAATCCTTTTCCATTCTCAGTGCTAGAGATCAGGCTCTGCCACTTATTAGCTGTGTGACTGAATAAATTACATACCCTCTCTGAACTTCAGCTTCCCTCCTGTAAAGTGGAAATAGCAACTCCTGCCTCTCTCTCTAGGTTGATGGATGTGAAGGTACCTTGTCAAGAGTTATATTATATATATTATATCTGAGGTATTGTTGTTAGTGGGTGTCCGTGATTTCCTAGCTAGCTTCCCCTCTTTTATGGATCAGTTTCATTGATTAAAGAATTCTTTGCAAAGCTCTTCCTTATTTATATATTTTTAATTACCTGGTTTCCACTTTAATCGTCCACTTCCTTCAACTTTCCCTCACCTTGGGCCATCTTTCACTTAGATTCTGCTGATTAGTCAGGGAACAGAAGTTTTTCAAGTGCCTGGTATTTTGGTCCATTTCATACTCTCTCCTTCGTGCCTCTTCCCACCCCCATCCCCCCACTCTAGGCTTTGAGTCAATTGTGCTTAAACAGTCTCCAGGCTTCTAGTGAATTGCTGCATTTAAAAATTCTGCCTTCCAGTATTTTTCTTCTTGAATACTCCGTATTTTGTTATAATCCTTTTTTTTCCAGGCAAGAAAAAAGCTGATTGCACCACACGAATGGAGGGAACGGTGGCTCATGACCTGGGAAGGTGGTGTGCTGGGACAGGTGGTGTCAATAGTGTTAGAAATGTCTCAGCATTGGGTGAGCCTTAGCTCTGCTTCTAAATGGGTTTCAGGGTTCCAAGTTTGCATTTGCAATCAAAAACATGGAAACACGCTATCCTCAAAATGATCATCCTTATTCTAAGTATTAAAGTGAAATAAGTCAAGCAGAGAAAGTCAATTATCATATGATTTCACTTATTTGTGGAACATAAGGAATGGCATGGAGGACATTAGGAGAAGGAAGGGAAAAATGAAGAGGGAGGGATCAGAGGGGGAGATGAATCATGAGAGACTGTGGACTCCAAGAAATACACTGAGGATTCTAGAGGGGAGGGGGTAGGGGGATAGGTTAGCCCAGTGATGGGTATTAAGGAGGGCACGTACTGCATGAAGCACTGGGTGTTATACGAAAACAATGGATCGTGGATCACTACATCAAAAACTAATGATGTATTATATGGTGACTAACATAACATAATAAAGTTAAATAAAAAATAAAAAAAGAGAAGTTCTTGAACGACCCCTCCCTGTTCTTCAAGGAGTGACTCTGTGCCAGGTTCTATGTTAGGCACTATGGGGATGTCAAGAAGAATGATACACAGTCCGTGACCAGTAGGGCTACTGGGGACAACAGACTCATAGACAACATGAAAATAAAATTAATTCCTCCCTTTCCTCCTCAAACAAATAAAAAAGTCAATCTCAGAACAACACTTCAAGGGGTTCACATGTAACCGACAGTATCTTCTGAGAACAATCTTATGTTAAGGACCACCTCCCGAGTGAGCCTGATATCCTGGAGCCCAGATCACAGCCGTAAGTTCACCCCAGAGAGACCCTTTGCATGCATGGGCCTTCCAAGTGCTTGCTTCAGTTGTCGTCAGCTCGGGGACTGCACCCATCTCCCACTCCTGCACCCTGTCCCCAGGGCACCTAGGGAGTCAAGCCAGATAGGGAAAGCAGTTGCTCCATCAATCCCTAAAGGGGGAAGGGAAGAAGACTTTTTCCATTTGATTCCTCCTCAGCTCTGGCCAAGGGCTGCCCTTTCTGTATTATCTCTACCAGCCAGCACCTGGGTTGGCCCTGGCCTGAGCTGGAAGCTTCTCTACAGAGGCTGTGTGGTGTAAAGGACACATCTTCCATTTCCTGAGAAGGTCAAGGCCACTGTCTTAGTTTGCTAGGGCAACCATAACAAAGTATCACAGACTGGGTGGCTTAAACAACAAAAATTTATTCTCTCACAGTTTTGGAGACTGGAAGTCCAAGATGAAGGTATTGGCAGAATTCGTTCCTTCTGAGGGTGTGAGGAAGAATCTGTTCCATGCCTCTCTCCTAGCCTCTGGTGGTCTTCTGGCAATATTTGGTGTTCCTTGGCTTGTTGACATATCACCCCAATCTCTGCCTTCATCTTCACATGGCATTTACTCTGTGTCTGTCTCTGTGTCCAAATTTCCCCTCTTTATAAGGACACAGTCATATTGGACTAGGGCCCATCCTGCTGACCTCATCATAACTTGATCATCTACAAAGATTCTATTTCCAAATAAGGTCACATTCACAGGTCTGAGGCTTAGGATTTCAACATCTTTTGGGGGAGACAAAATTCAACCCCTAAGAGCTACCTCCCTCAGATCGCTCAGCTTCTCCTCAAGATTCCTCTGTTTTTCCACCATCTTGCTCCTCCTTGGTTCCAGAGAAGTTTCTCTCTCTTCCTTGCCCAAGCTAACTCCTTCCCTGGGTCTCCTAATTCTGTCCCTTCCCACCTCCTCCAGAGCTTCCTATGTCAGTTAGCCTGTCCTGGGCTCCTCTTCAGGACCTCCCAGACTTAGAAACTTGTTTGGGCTTTATATCTGCTTCCCATGGTCCTGCCATTCCTGTGTCCTGTTCTCTTTGTTTGGGTTTTTTTTGTTTGTTTGTTTGTTTTTCTTTCACAACCTGCTGTGTCCATTTCCCCACCATTCACTGCGCCCCTCCCCCCAAAAAAAGCTTGCCCTGTCAGAACTTGAGACGCAGTCGAGTTGGGAGGCCAGGAGTGCATGGTGTGCGGTGAGCTCTCAGCTGTGTGTTAGCATTTCAAGTTTTGGTGATTTCAGCTTCTCCTATTGCTGTGAAGATGGTAATTATGTCTATGTATTCAGCTGCAACTCAATTACTTTCCACCTTTCAACCTCCTCCTAGACAATTTATTTAGAAATGCTACTAACATTTCAATACATCCCCAAACTAAGCCCTCTCCTTGCCTTCTGTGCCCCGCCCCCAACACACATACTCCTGAGCTTCTGTCTGATTTTTCTGTTTCTATTAATGGCACCATTACTCTTCTATCAGCTTGGGACACAAACCATGGAGTCACTATTCCCTTTCTTGTGCCAACTCTACCTAACCAATAGCTAAGTTCTGTAAATTTTATCAATGAAACATTAAAAAATATATGCATCTCTATCCATCCTGTCCTTCCATTTCTATCACCCCAAGCCTAGATCAGGCTATTTCCCCTCTAGACTATACCAGTAGCCTTCTAACTGGACTCCTTGTCTCCAGCCCCTTGAAAATCACAATCACACTGCTGCCAGATTACTCTTCTTAGAATGCAACTTGATCATGGAAACTCTCTTGTAGAAAAGCATTCAATGGCTCCCTGGTGCTTGATGTAGGAAAGAATGTTACAGTTCGAAGCCAGGGGCCAAGAAATAATTCTTGAGACATCTTTGGTGCAAAAAGGTGATTTTATTAAAGCACGGGGACAGGATCTGTGGGCAGAAAGAACTGCACTGGGGGTCATGAGGAGTGGCCCTTTATATACTTTCAAGTTGGGAGGGGGTTAGGGATAGCATGTAAGTCTCTAAGGAATTTGGAAGCAAGGTTTCCAGGACCTTGAGGGGGCTAGCTATTGTTGGGAAAAGGTCGTTTATTACCGTCTAATAAAACCTTAGTCATGAGACCCTTCAGATGTATATCGGTGGGCCATATGCTTGGGGGTGATTGCCAACATGTATCTTGGGGGTTTAGAGAGAAAGGAAATTTCTAAAGGAATTTTTATATGTTAAAGTAGACTTAGAGGATCCTGGGGGAGGGAGGGTTGGGCTAGGATTGCCTTTTGCCCTTAGCAAAGTGTCAACATCTAGGCAGTTGAGTCCCTAGAGGAATGTCACTCTGCCTGTTTTCAAGGACTTGTCAGTGAGCTGTAGGTAGTAAGGAAATTTAATACTTTTTCTTCTGCCTTTTTTCCCCACATCATTGCTTATCAAATAAAGCCCAAACTCTGGCATTCAAATGCCTTTATAGTATGGCTTTTCTTCCTTCTAGCCCATTTCCCTGTAGCCCTCTAAGCTTTGGCTACACATTTCAAACACACACAATGCTTTTCCACTTGTGGGTCTTGGTATTCCACCCTCTATTTTTCAATGCTCTTCTTAAGTATACTTTCCTTTTGGTTGAAGCCTTGCTCGCTTTACTAGGGTGAATTCTCTCCCTTTGCTGGTCTTCAGTATCTTACTTGGTATCTATCCCTCCTGTGGCCCTGAACACAATCTGTCCTATATTCCCTGGTAGGTAAGAGGACAGAGACATTCTTCTGTACCATTTTCGTATCTTCTGCAACTTCTAAAACAGTGTCTGATACATGTAGATACACATAATTGTTGAGACTCTTGACCTGATTTGAAGGGTACTCAGCTTTCCACACCAAGTTTCTTTTCAAACGGACTTCAACAGACAAATGTGAATGAATGCTGCAGTGGAGTGTAAAATCAGAAGTTCATCTCTCAGCCCACAGGAGCTACTGCTTACCCCTCTGACAATGTTTCTTCATGGCTTCCCTTTGCCTGTCATTCACGCTGGGGGAAGTTCATGGTTTTGGAGGGAAGTGTGAACATACGACTCTAAGACATACCTCCTTCCTCCCTTCCCACACTCCTTTTTCTTCCTAATCCTGGCAGTCTCTCAACTTGTACTTCTGGCTCAGATTCTTTTATCTCTCTGCTTTTTTTCTTTCTGCTTTTTCCTCTTTACATTATTGACCCTGTCCCCATCCCCATCCAGTTGTAAACAAGATTCTGAGTGTGGGGCTGGGCTAGGGATAGGAAGCAGAGAGAATCAGACATTAGAGCTGGGGAAAGGCTAGCCCATGGGGCCAAGTTATGGCCCCCTCAGGTTTCTTCCTTTGCCTGCAGCCAGGCTTCAGACTTGTCATCTAACTGCCTTCCTCACTAAAACTGGGGACTCACAGAGTTGCAACAACCTCTCTTTGTCCCATTGGTATGAGTTAATCAGGAACAGAGAGGCTTTCAAAGTGAAGGCTTTATTCAGAGACCTATGGAATGCAAAGTACTTTCTTCTTCCATTTACAGAACAAACAGCTGAGAGTCAGGAATTCTTCTCCCCACAAAGCCCTGCTAGCCATTCCTTCCCTCCCCCTGGCTTCTCACCTCTAGATCCCTCTACCCAACAAGTGCACTATCAAATGACTGTGGGTGCCCCCAAGGAGGTGCAATTTAATCTTCAACCTGTTTCTCCACAGGATTGCTTTTCTGGAGCACATTTTTGGGAGAGCATAAATGTTTTAGGTCTGATCAACTGGCATTCCTTGTCCTCCCTATGGCCGGCCCCTCTATTAATGCATCTCCTTGTCTCCATCAGCAGTCTCTTTGTAAACCTGTTTTGTCATCTCTAGCTGCATCAGTAACGCTTCCCTTGCTGTCATGATTTCTCAAGCCCAGTCTACCCCAAATCACCCATGTGTTTGGAGACCATTGCAGTGGGCAGAAGGATGGCTCACTTGGACATATCCAAGTGCACGGGCAGCCCTTGTTGGTCACAGAACAAGCCCAGTACCTCATGCACTCCAAATACTCTCAAATAAACCAAGTCCTTTACTTGTTAAGTTGAATTTTCTTTCTGGTGCAAGCATTTTCAGGCTAAGAGGACACTTTGTAGAGTATGTTAAACTCATATGAAACACATTTGTGAATCTGAGGTATTCTTCATATCTTTATCACTACCGTTATTACTCAGAATAACCTGGTTTTAGCACATTATGACAGGAAAGGTGGTATTCCTCGAGTATACTACAACTAATCATGCTTGGGTCCAAATTTCTTGGGAATGTAACAAATGTCTAGAGATTTTGCTTTCTGAGCAGATCTCAGTATATGATATCTGTAACTCCCAGGGCCCCTAGGGACAATCAACTAGTGCGACAGTAATCTTCTGAAAGTGGTTGGTCAATTACAACCCTACCCAACAATATGAATAAAATTCACAAACAAAATGTTGACAGAAGACAGTCATAAAAAATAAAATACTATAGGATTCCATATTTTAAAGTTTAAAAACAGGGAAAACAAATCTATCATGCTAGATGTCAGGATAGTGGTTACCTTGGGGAGGAAGTGACTGACACAAAATGGGGAGCACCCAGAGTACTGGCAATATTTCTTGAACAAGTGTGTTCACATTGTGAAATTTCATAGTGTTATACATTTGTGAACTGTACACTTCTTTATATGTGCATTGTATTCTAATAAAAAGTTCTTAAAAATGTAGTTTGTCAAGATTCTGGCTGCTGTGCTTGGGAGCAGTGACAGATGAGAATTACATTGCTACAGTACCACTCCAGTGACTCTTGCAGGTAGCAAGTTCCTTCCAACATCCACAAATGGCTATACAAGGGGCAGACCCAGGGGCAGACTCTCAGTAAAAGTACAAGGTAAAACTTAAGGAGATCTAGGAATTTTACTGGACATTCCTCATGCTCTAGGATGAATCCTAAAATAAGGTGGGGAGGGTGAGAAGGACTTCTGAATCCTAAAATAAGGGGGTGGGGAGGGTGAGAAGGACAATTCTCCCATTAAGAAAGCCAAGGAGAGGAAGGTAGCCTTCCCTGCTCCCTGGCACTGGGCAGTGGTGATGTGGCCCAGGCTTGGCCAATGGATGTTTTGACCCTGATATTTGAATTTTGGGGACAGTTGAAACTCTTCTAGACAGCAGAGGCAGAGGTGCCTAGGGACTTAGTATTGAATGTCCAGTAGAAGCAAGAGTCCATCAGCAGTGGAGCCTGCCACAGCCTTCTTGACAGCCTGTTTTTGTTGAGTGATCTGAATGAGTTCTTGGCTGCCTAGCCTTTCTTAGATTCTGTCTCACTTCTGAGCCTCCTCATCAGTTCTGAGGATAATACCTAAACTTTTTCTAAATTCCTTTTCTGGTTAAGGTAATCAGAGTGAATTTCTGTTATTTGCATTCAAGACCCTTGACTAGTAGGAGAGCTCCCCAGCAAAAGAGATTGTCAATTCTCTTTGTAATTCTTTACTCAAATTTTATCACATGGCTTCTCATTCAAGAACTAGAGATTATTTGGGGTTAACTATGTTCCTGTTTCAAAAATACCAACATTCTTACAGGACAATTAATCATTCATACTTCA